TGGCAAATACGTTTTTTTAAACTATAAGAAAACTAATACTAGAACTAATAAAAACTAATAAAACCTAAAACTAAGCATTAAACAAACAATAAAAACTGTCAAAAACTAGCAAATCCACTCTAAAAACTTATTAAAACTAACTGAATTCAAAGAAAAAAAGTCAAAACGAAATAAAACTAAACTATAATGAAAAATCCAAAACTATTATAACCTTGGTCCCCTAACCGAGACCCTCGTAAAGAGAGGTGGTCACCAGACCGCTACAGTCAACAACAAAAAAAATGGTCATCAAAGACGGTCACCCGATTGCTACACTCAAAGGGACAAACACCCCCTTAACCAAAGAAGTCATTATGACTACCACAACGACAACAGATCCTACGACACCTGTAGAGATTGTAACAGGTCAAAATCCCCAAACAACCGTAAACAAACAGAGAAAAACTTGCAACCCAAAAGAGATCGGAGCCAAAAAAAAAAGAAGACTAACGCTTCCTAACTGAGCAAGAAACTGAAAAACTCAGACGTTTGTCATCTGAAAACAAGGACTGAAAAGTCTGTGCTAACAATTAGCACAGTACAAAACAACACAGGTCATGAAACAGGTACTGATGCTAATTCTTCCACACCCGAAAGGAGGGAGGATCAATCTCTACCAGTAAGCCCACCACCTATCTGTAAAACTGAACACTTCAGTCACCTATATTTAACCAGGTAGAGCCCGTTGAGATCGAGATCTCTTTTACAAGGGTGACCTGGTCAAGTGGTCATCAGCACACGTCACTTGAAACACTAAAGCACAGTTCTGGTCATGGCGATGGACCAGAGGACCAGTATTCGGTCGAGGAAGGTCCTGCGATTCCAGTAAAGCAACCAGTCATGAAATTTCTAGGCCACCTATAGAAAAAGGGGGTCACCCACAAGTTTTACGCATCCTTGGTTCTAGAAGACGTACTGACACACTTCTTGACACAAGGGCTAATATCACAGTCATGTCTGCTGAACTGTTCGAGAACCTGTAATGAGCTGCAAACCATGCTAATAAAGTAGCAAGTTGTTAGGAGAGAAACAGAAAGAGTGATTAACTATTTCTGTCCTACACTACACTTTACCAAGTTGGGGCACCAGGTCAGTTATTGGCCAAACTTTATTCACCATTTTTAATCAGACTAAATACGCAAAGATGAGGAACCGGCTTTGTCTTTTATGGTTTTTTATTACAAAAATATAGCAAAAATCAATTTCAATGATTCATGACTAAAAACAGTAAAAATAACGTGAAAGACAAAGCACCAAGTTTTATAGCACAGTTAAAGATGTTAAGATAAGGTCTGAATGTTAAAACTTTTATAGAATGAAAATATATTTTTCTCCAAAGGAAATATTTTTCTTCTATTAATTAATTGACAAGCGACCCAGATTAAATCCTACAAGTTCTTGAAATTTAGAAAGAAGTTCTTAAGCTCTGAGTCAGATTAATTTTTTTAACAACCTTTATCTTACTGCAAAAAGATTACCAAAGTTTGCCTCGGCTGTTTTAAATCAGGATTGTTCTGCGAACCATTTGTGTAATGCCTGATTGGGTACAGTTCATCCACTCACCAGAGTTGGAGATATTTGTCTGTCTCATGAGGTGAGGCGTCTCGAACCTCTGAAGTCCTGCCAGGTCTGCCCTGGAGGTCATTACGGATAGGTTTGTGCAGAATCTGACCCAGTATGGCTTGGCCCACCATAACAAACCGCTTTCTGAGCCTCCCCCAGGTCGTCACTAACTTATTGTTTGCAGCAATCACAAAAATTTCATTTTCCCAAAATAGTTCTGGGCCATCTCAAGTTTCCGAAGTGCTCCAGCTTCTTCAGCAAATCTCAGCTCTGCACCCTCTGAAAATTGAACTCCACTTAATAACCCAGGCCAACCCACTTTTTAAAATCTCAGCTTTTCTCAGTGACATCTCATGTAACCATGTAAAAACTGAAGGAATGAAGCAGTTAAATGTTCAGAATGTCATTGTCACACCATTCTATCCCTATTATTTTCTGTTCACTTTGAATTCAGTTTGAAGCCCAGCTACAAATGATGTTTAAGGTTTGCTGGGAGCAGCATCACATGTTTTTTTTATCCATTTGCATGAAAACACTTAAACTGTTCTTAAACAGTATCACTGAGTTCCACAAAATAAATGTGCTGCCACACAACAAGATAACCTGATTAACATTAGACTCACTTCTCTGCTTCTACATAGGATGGCAACATGCTGCTGTTGAAGAGGAGAAGGATGAGGAACAGTGACGGAGTACCCTGAAAAAAAAAATTAATTAAGAACCACTTGTTTCAGAAAAAAATTGTACAAAAACAGAAACAGAGGACTCACATTCAGCACATCCATCTTGCCCACTTGATAGGAAGCAGAGCCAAGGACTCTCTGAGAGAGACCTTTTACTGTGACCTCAAACAGAATCTGAAAAAGATGCAGTTCTGGTTGAAGAACCAACACATCAAGTAATAAAAACACCAACAATAGCAATGTTTACATGCATAAAATCCTTTGATTGGATTGAAATGTATTCCGAATAAATAATCCGAATGCATCGTTTACATGGGCACAATCCGATCTTGACGAGCGTTTGCATGCAACAGGCTTTTATTCAGAATAGGAGCACTGACATGCGCAGAGCGCCCAGAATGTACATGCGACAGGTTTTAATAACGGTGGAGACATTACTGCACTCCCTGTTTGAGCTGCAGGTAACACATGGTCACGGATTTTTTATTTTTTATTCTTCTGGGCGAAGCAACACATGCCGTTTGTCTTCCTTCTTTATTGAATAAGAAAACAGGAAGAAAAGTTCTGTGCTGCTAAAAACTATTACACTGCTGTCCCTCCCTCTTCAAAAGAGCAGAAATCAATGAATAAAAGTCAGAAGACTTGTGCAGTCAGGTCAGTTTTCCACAATCAGATTAAGATGATCAGATTTACACGTTTACATGCACGCTGTTCAGATTATCAATTGGCATAAACCATCTCTCTCATTCCAAATACAAATTGATTTGGATCAAGCTGAATCGGATCAGAATAATTCAAATGGGGTGTTTACATGACGCTGGGGTGCACCAAAAAATCGTTTTACATCAGAATCGTGATTCTCATTTTCAAAGATTCAGAATCGATTTAAAATGTCCCAAAATTGATTTTTATAAAAAATTAAAATAAAATAAAGCAAATCCAAAGGCTGTCAACCTCCAATTTATAACTACACAGGGTGTCCTGRCGTCATCACGCAGCTGCTTTTGGAACATATGAATGTGCAGAAAGCACCAAAACAAAGAGGCAACTACAAAACTGGAGGACGGAGAGATTCAACTGGCCCCGTCTTCATTGAATGCAAAGATTTGGGCTCATTTCGGTTTTTACTGAATGAGTCTGAATTTGACATGAGCTTCACTGTGTGTAGGGCTGCAACAACGAATCGATAAAATCGATAAAAATTGATTATTAAAAGCGTTGGCAAAGAATTTCATTATCGATACATTGTGTCGCACGATTTATGCATCCCTCGCCGTGTCGCGGAGCCTTTTTTCACCCGCAGAGCGTTGACTGACCTAAATAAAGTTTGGGAAGAAAAAAAAAACTCTACCTGTAAAGATCCGCCCTCTCTGAGACTCTCAAGTGAAAAGTAGAGACTTCGAAGTTTAAACCAGTTTTAAAATTGTGTTGTTAGGCCAAGTAGATCCGAAGATATGATAAAAAGTATATGCCACGTGTAATTTTTTTTAAAAGACGGTCTGATTTGATGCAAGGAGGAAATGCGTGCGGGGGAGGGGGGCACCTAAATCCACCATTTCCTCCTCCTCTCAGGCTAAAAGTATAAAAACCCTCCAGTTTTTTCTGAGTAAGGCTCAAAGTTATTTGTTGAACAGCAAAATGGTTCAGGAC